CACATTCATCCATATGCAAATTATGATCATTAACTATATACTTTGTAAGAGAACTTAATTTATAGGAACAAACTTCTCAAACAAGTTATCCAACTTCTATATAAGATTTATTTTTAAATAATCTCATAAGTTCAATCACACATTAATTATCTACATGTGTAGCTCTAGTTAGCTAGCAACATGGAACATTTAAGCAATTTTATATAAGATTAAAAATGTGATCTACCTAATTCCTAATAATTTATGGTTTTATAAGTCATGTACATGCCATCATTGAATTGTTGTCCCTTGACAAGAGTACATGAGCACCTCAAACAATTATAGGATGGTTACCTTTCACTTTCTAATTCTTATTTTGATATGCTTTCAAATGCACAAGATAAGGCTCTCAACTAAGATAAGTAAATAGGGTCCGCACTCTCATATGAAATTCAACAAATCATCCTATCCTATATATTGATTGTTACATTACTTATGCATAATAATCATATAAGATATGTAGGCGGCTTGATGATGAAATTATTGAAATTCATCGGTAAATATGAATTTTATTATGTTAGATAATAAAGATATCGTCATATGATCATATGGATCACTGAGTTGCATTCATGCATACATACGTATACGTTATAACAATAATATCAGCCATACAATTGTATTTTCTTATATAAGAGAGAGAGAGAGAGAGAGAGAGAGAGACACACACACACACACACACACAAACAAAGAGATCAACATTACTTGAATACTTGATCATCGCTTTAATACATATCATAATAAAAAGATTGATTTATGCAACCTTTTTCAAATTAAAATCAAATAATACTCGAATTGAACCAAACAAAACCGGCAAATTTTATCAATTTTATTTTATATTTTAAATTTAGGTATTTTTTTTATTTTTTTTTTTGTAAATTGCACGCCAAACATTGCTAATATTGTAAATAGCAATGATGGGTATGTAATTATCCCCTTTTTTTTCGTTGGGGGTACAAGTCTATTCAGTTGCGTCATTCCTGCGTTTAAATAGGCAATTGAAGTTCTTAATTTTATATTCCAATGCTATAAATTCATACAACAAATAGGTACTTAGCTTTGTCAGAGTTTGTTTATATGCTAAATGTCTCCTTGAGAAGATTATAATATTTACTAGCTGCATTAATGATACTTATCTGCTCTCTATAAATAAACTTTCCTATTAAGAATATATATATATATATATATATATATAGTATTTTGATGAAATTTATTTAGTTTTCTGTCAAAAACTCTTTCTCAATGTAAGTTTTTTGCAAAAATAATTAGGAAAGTGTAGTCAATAAACAAATATACTTGTAAACATTCCCTTTTTGCCTTTATACCTCCCAAATCCTTCATATCACATAAACAAATATCACTATTTTAATTTTTAAATATCAAATATATATATATACTATTATATTATATTATATTTGATGGAATGGGAAAAGAAATTTTATATATGATAATTCTAGAATGCATTAAAATATGATGTCATTTTAAGGAATAGTCTTATAGCTATTCCAATACGTCAGGCACCTAACTAGCTGCCTTGTCTGTTTAGACTGTGTTTGTCCATACGTGCATTGTTTTGTTTGAAAAGATTTAAAATAAAAATTCAACGTTGACAATACTCACCCAAATAAATTATTTTTAAAATAGCAAAATAAAATCTTTCCCAAGGAGTTAAGCTTCATAATTCTTTTTTATAATTATTAGCCAACATCTTATATATATTGATGCGTTCTAAAAAATTGGTAGCGGTATAGTAATGGATTTTCGTCTTAGCGTTGCACGAAGATTCAATACACACTCAGATGAAAGTGAATCAACCCGTGATGACACCAGAAGTTTTTACGTGGAAAAACCGTAAAGGAAAAAAATCACGGGGTCTGGTCCAATTAAAAAAATCTACTATATGTTGATGATTGCTGAGTCCCCTTGTCCCACAGATAAGAAATGATTACTAGATTTTTCAAGATACAACGTTGACTGACGGCTTTGGTTAACGGTGGTCATCGACAGTTGATGACGGTTGGTTGTAATCGACGGAGATTAGTGGTGATCGATGGTGGTAGACGGCGGTCTGCGGTGGCAGAGATGATGTTGGACTTAAGTTCCTTCTAAAAGCCTCAAGTTCTCTCTCAAGTCTCATCCTCTCATGTGAGGTGTGGGGCTCTATTTATAGTATTCCTGGTGCAATTAATGCAAGAATATGAGTCATTTTGATTGGACGGTCCAGAGAGCTTCCCTCAATCGGATGGTGTTTGATGGACATTTGAGTACCTTAACAATGTTGGAATTGAACAATCTTGGCATTGTTGGAGTCGTCTTGTCGAGACGCTCAATTCGACTATGAACCCACTGAATTTGACATTCGTTTGATCTTTCAAATCTGTCCAGAAATCTTCCAAGAATTATTAATCGCTTGATCTTGGCTTGATTTGACTCAGATTGGACTAACCTTGATATCTTTGGGTCCTCATCGAGCCGGTCAGTTTGACAATGAGTTTACTGAAATCAAAGCTCAGGATGACTTTTTATCAAGATTTGAATATTTCTTTTCAAAATATTATCTCGAGATTCATGCTAGATAATGAAAATTTGTTGGTGACGTATATATATATCTTCATCATAATTCCAGGAAGATAAAAAGCCCAAGGGTCTTGCCAAAAGTCCAAGCTTTCTAGATAAACTAGTTTGTGTAATATTAATCCGACATCATTAGATTACATCAATAGACATCGTATTTTATTAAATATATTTAAAAAATATATTTTTATAAATCTGTTGAGATAGAGCTGTTAATAGAGATAATCTCCTCCTAGGAGAGAAGGGACAGAAATAATTGAACACCTCTCTCTCTCCCTAATTTCTTCTCTACTAAACAAGCATGTTTTCCATACCCCTTTGTTTCTTCTGCTGATCTTTCCTAATTTGTTTAAGTGATTTAGCACCTAAATTTACGTATAAATTAAATTGAGTAAGCATTAACTATATGAAAATTGAAATTATATAAGATTTCTACGGCATATATGTAATTGCCCCTAAAATGTCCATCAAAATGCCTCCAAAAAATTAAATTATAAGGCCTTATATTCATGATTCAATCCAAACCTCTTATATTTATGAATCATTTATTGAAATCATAAGATCTTTAAGATTGATTTTTAAACTAGTCTAAAACAAAATATTTCTAAAGTTTGTTAGCACAAAGGTCATTTCTTTCGAGATTTATATAAATTCAAGAAGGGTGTGGTGGGGGTTACTTTGAAGGGATGGCAGAAGCCAGAAGTCGATTCAAGACGCATTTTGTTGAGATATATAGGGTGAAGAAAAACAAGAATCGACACAAATTTAGAAGAACACGTAGAGATTTAACGAGGATCAGAAAAGATGTATACGTCCTCGGGTGCAGAACGGCGGCTTTCATTCTGTTGAGATATTTTCTAGAGTCTCATTAAGGTCTCATTCATTTTTCATTAAAAAAAAATATGGAAGACTAGTTTATTTATGGATTTTTTTGTTCATACATATAATAATTTGCTCCTCAAAGATATATGACTATGCCCATCACCAATAAATTCGTCTGTCCTGACTAAATACTTATTAATTTAAATTAAAAAAAAATAATAAACTTAAAATTAATATAACAAAAACAAAATTCCAATAAATAAATAATGATTGACCATTTTTAAGATAATTTCTTAAGATATTTATTAATGAATTGCATAAAATTACAAAAACACGTGATTAATTAAAATATTAGGACGCATTAAAAAATAATAAAAAAACGAGCAGCTATACAAATAAATATTTGTTTTCATGCAATCATTTTTTTTATATTTTTTTATTTTTATAAATTTAATGGTGATTTCTTTCACCTGTTTATAGTAACAGACCCTAAGATAAAATATCAAAAAAATTACTGATAAATTATTTTTAAATTTATTCCACTTATTAATTACTTTAAAAAAAATTGAGGAAAATCACATTACCATAAATTCACTTATATATGACAAAACCTCACCATTTACCCTTTCTCCAAATGTACGGAAAATGGTGGATGAGATGGTCGCGTTACCATAAATTCACTTATGTGTGACATGACTTCTCTCTATATACTCTTCTTCATATATTATACATAACTATAGAGAATAGTCGATGGGGAGGCCACATCATCAAAAATTCACTTACACGTAACATGACATCTCTCTATACACCTTTCTTCATACTTCATAAATATGCATGGAGAAAGGTGGATGGAAAGATCACTCTCAATATAAGTAAATTTACGATAATGTGATCTTTTCAGGATTCTGCTTGCGGATTCTAAAGTCGAGCTGGCACTTGGAAAGTTGGGCCGCACATGCATAAAAATGAATAAGAGAACGAAAACGTGCGACCTGGTCTGACTGATGCGTTATAAGAATATTTTTATCGCATATGAATATTCTCTCGCATTATTCTGTATATTTTTTGTGTTATTTGTGTGGTAATGAGGTGATTCGACCAAATGATTAAAACTTTTAATGATGTGTTATTAATATGTTTTGGAAGTGATTTTGAGTTAATATTGTGTTTAAAAAACAATAACATCTCAAAATCACCTCAGTCACTGTTTTTAATGTGTTATTTGTGTGTTATTCATGTGTTATTGGTATTGTTGTTTACAGAACAACAATATCTCATAATCACTTCAATAATACACCAATAACACATGAATAATGCAGAAAATATTCAGAATAATGCGAAGGAATATTCCTATAACACGCGGCGTGTTTTTATTCTTATTTTTATTTTTTATGTTGGTGGGCCCCAATTTTCCATGTGTCACATTTGAATTTATAAACAACTATACATGTGGAGTCGTGATGTAATATATTTTTCCCATACACTCTTCTTCATACATACGTACGTATAACGAAGATGGCCCTCACAAATCATGAATGTTGGAGAGATAAATTTACATGTATGTAACATGACCTCTAGAGTACTTAATAATTTCTCCAAGCAAGTCTGCAAAAGCAGCTCTTTTACCTCCTCATCCATAAATACCCGCCCAACTCATCCCATCTCTCCCCCACCAGAGATATAACGCAGAAGACTTAAAAGAAAAAAAAAATGGTGGCGAAGCTGGCGACGACGGGGAGGAGATTGTCGGAGCCATTGGGTCCGGCAGCGTGCGAAAGCGATTCAAAGAAACTGGAGTTCATAGAAGAGATGACAGTGAAAGCCGACGAGGTACAGGGGAGAGTGCTCGCCGAGATACTCGGACGAAACTCCGAAACAGAGTATCTCCGACGATATAACATGGGCGGCGCCGCCGACCGGAAAGTGTTCAAGGAGAGGGTTCCGATCGTCACTTATGAGGACCTTAAGCCGGATATACAACGAATCGCCGACGGCGATCGCTCCCCCATTCTATCCGCCGTTCCCATCTCAGAGTTCCTCACTAGGTTCTTCTCCCACTGAATTTTTTTTTTTTTTTAATTTGATGTTTTAAAATTTAAAAAATAGAGGGTATGTTTGGGGAGCTTGTGCGTTTTAGAATAATCAACTTATCCGGAAACGCGGCCCACAAGAACCCCGTGACCTATGTTTAGTGTAAAAAACTCAAACGCGGTAAATAGCGTTTTCAAAAAAATGATCAAACCAAACGGTTATGGAGAGTTTTCAAAAACGCCGTCACATTTATAAGCTGCTCCAAACTGACCCAGAATTGTGATTTGTGTAACCTAGTTGTAATTTTTTTTTCCAATAAAAATATTTATAAAATTTGAATAAAAAATAGTGGGCTTGAGATATTTGAATTAAAAAAAAAATAAAAAAAGCTACGTGTAAATATTGACATGATAATTGTTAATGGTTTCTAAGCTGCCGATTAATGAGATTTATAAGATATCTTTAGTGTGGATGGTTTGGCTAAGTAGCTAACTTATGAATTTCTTAATAACGGTGTATAAAATAATCTTCCCATTATTTATTAATCTTTAATATATAATTTTTATATATGCAAATATATTAAAATTTTGTACTTCATGTGCCTGCACATGCCCTTGGTTCTTATAAAATTCTAAGAAAATATATATATTTATAAATGATTTTAAAAAATTAAGAGCATTTTCATACATGCATGCCACCAAATTCCGATTTACATATCTAACAACTATACTTTACATTTACACCCCCAAATCTTGCATATCATATACACAATACCACCATTTTATGCAATAGCTAAAGTGGTATGTGTGTATGAATGGAATTTTAGGTGCTAGATATGTAAATACAAAGGAATTAAGTGGTATAAATGTAAATCTTCCTTGGTTTTATACTTGATGTAATATATGTTTGGTTAAGTGATCCGATAAGATTTGGTGTTAACCTCATCGAAACATGATATTTAAACTTAATTAATATTTCATAACTATATATTTATTGTATACTATTTATTTATTATTACATGCAAATATATAAATATACAATAAAATATATCATATGTGAATTCAAAATTAAATGAGATTGAAAGTAAAATATTCAAGGCCTTAAATTAATTATGAATGTATTATTGCTCTAATATTTATAATTTTTAAGAATATTTTTATGCTAATAAGAATTTTTTTTTAAATTATTGTAAAGATAAGAAAGTTTACCTGTTAAACATGTAAAAATCAGCTGATACTTTTATTTAGACAATTATTCTTTTGAAAAAAAAAAATATTTATTAATTCAGCTCTGGAACATCAGCGGGAGAGAGAAAGTTGATGCCGACGATCGAGGAGGAGCTGGACAGGAAACAACTGCTCTACAGCTTGCTCATGCCGGTGATGAACATGTTAGTCTTTTCTATGGATAAATATTTTAATATCATCGCTTGTTTTACATAATCATAATTTTCACGTCAAAGACAATTAAAATTAATTAATTAATAATTGCTAACAAACAATTTAAAAAAAAATTACCAAATATCATAAATCCCATATATTGACGTTCTGAATTATGTAATTTATTCATGCATACAGCTACGTCCCCGGTCTAGACAAAGGCAAGGCCCTCTACTTCCTCTTTGTAAAACCCGAAACCACAACACCGGGCGGGCTTCCGGCCCGACCCGCCCTCAAGCTACTACAACAGCCACCATTTCCGCCACCGCTCCTTCGACCCATACAACAACTACACCAGCCCCACCGCCGCCATTCTCTGCCCCGACGCCCACCAGAGCATGTACGCCCAAATGCTCTCCGGCCTCCTCCACCGCCTCGACGTCCTCCGCCTCGGCGCGGTCTTCGCCTCCGGCCTCCTCCGCGCCCTCCGTTTTCTCCAACTCCATTATCGCTCTCTAGCCGCCGATATCGCCGCCGGCTCCCTCTCCCTTACTCACGTCTCCAACCCCTCCATCCGCTCCGCCGTCGCCGAATTCCTCCGGCCGGACCCGGCCCTGGCGGACCTCGTGACCCGAGAATGCGGGTCGGGTAATTGGGCGGGGATTGTTACCCGGTTATGGCCCAATACGAAATATCTGGACGTTATTGTGACCGGGGCGATGGCGCAGTATATTCCCACGCTGGAGTATTATAGTGGTGGGCTTCCGATGGCGTGTACGATGTACGCGTCGTCGGAGTGTTATTTTGGGCTTAATTTGAGGCCCATGTGTCGGCCCGATGAGGTGTCGTATGTGATTATGCCGAATATGGGCTACTTTGAGTTTATACCCTGTGAAGGGACGCCGGCGGCGGAGCTGGCGGAGGAGGTGGTGGATCTGGTGGAGGTGGAGGAAGGGAAGGAGTATGAGCTGGTTATTACTACTTATGCCGGTTTGTATCGGTATCGGGTCGGCGATATTTTGAGAGTTTCGGGATTCCATAATGCGGCGCCTATGTTCAGGTTTTTCATTTTTTTTCAGCTTCATTTAATTTGATATTCTATATTTATTGAATTAAGATGATCAAATTCAATTTTTTTTATTATATTAATCTAAAAAATAAATAGAAAAAAAATTAAAAAAATAATATGCTTTCAGATTCGTGCGGCGAAAGAACGTTCTTCTAAGCATCGAATCAGACAAAACAGATGAAGCAGAGCTACAAGGTGCAGTAGAAAGAGCATCCAAATTGATAGAGCCATATGGGGCCAGTGTGGTGGAATACACAAGCCATGCATACACCAGAGAAATACCCGGCCATTATATCATCTATTGGGAGCTACTCATGAGGGGGGAGAGGGAATTGCCCAAAACTGACATTTTGGAAAAATGTTGTCTTGAAATGGAAGAGGCTTTGAATGCGGTGTACAGACAAAGTCGTGCCGTCGATGGGTCGATCGGGCCGCTTGAGATCCGAGTGGTGCGACCCGGTACTTTTGAGGAGCTCATGGACTATGCTATCTCGCGGGGCGCTTCGATTAATCAATATAAGGTGTCTAGATGTGTCACCTTTCCACCTATTATTGAGTTGCTCGATAGTCGGGTTGTGTCGACTCATTTTAGCCCGAAGCCGCCGACGTGGATATGGCAACAACATCGTAGCTTGAGCCAATTAAGAGAATGATAGAGTGCACAAAATGTGATTAAGAGAAATTTGAGAGAGGTGACGATGATGTTCTCCCTCTTTTCTCTATCACATTTTTATCACAATAAAAATTAACCAAAACTTGTTTCATGTATAGGAAGGAAAAAATATTGCTTCCAGAGTCCGAACACAAGCTACGTCTAGACAATGAATTCGATACACTAGTTTTATTTACAGACTCTAGAAGTAATATTTTTTCTCTCTGAGAAGTTGAGGCAACCTCTTTATTGTATATTGATCTAATTGATATGTCAATAAATAGCTATAGATGTGATTTGTAAAATTTGAATGCTTCATTAAGAAAATGTGCATGTCTAGTGGCTCACATTACTGCCTCGAGTCAGTTTATTTACTCACAACATTCCATGAATCAATATTTTTATGCAGCAGCCATTAATTTCAGGAAGATTTACATACATGCCACAGAATTCACAAAGTTCAATTTTTTATGTACATTCCGCCATAACTGTGCACAAAAAGACGTCAAAATTTAAATAGTGATGTTTTTGAGGTGATATGAAAAGACTTTAGTAATGCAAAAGGCAAAATTTACATGGTAGATGTGTCAATAAATAAGAATTAGGTGGTATGCACGTAAAGTAAATGCATCTTAATTTAATCTTATATATTATTAGAGTACATAAAAATGTCAAATTGAAATTGATTTCAGCTCCGTAAAAAAAAAAAAATCAATTTTGAATTAAAAATAGTATGAAAAGTTCATAAAAAGCAAAAAAAGAAAACTAACTTTCATTTATTTCAACAATGATTTAAGATCGCTGTCAATCACTTAAAATAAACCAACCCTTCAATTCATAATTAAATTCTTGAATGTTTATTTTTAGAATGATAGCAACCTGTGAAGGAAATTCTGGTAAACATTGTGATAATATAATGGCATTTCGTCAATCTTACACCAAAAGAACTGAAACAGAAAGCGATGAGCAGCGAGCAATGCATGATCAAATTAAGCTAAGTTTTCATATCTGCACAAACCAGGGAAAAGTAGGCATTTCCCATCTTAGAGCTAGAAGCAGAAATATGGCTTTAATAAAACATGGCATTAACTGCCCTTGTAGTTATGTGACAAATAATAAGTTTATGTTATTCAGAACATGCGAATCAATACTTCTTTATCAGGAATATATATATATATATATATATATATATATATATATAATAATATAAAAACAATATGTTTTTAAATCCCAATCTCCTACCCTTAATCCCATATATATATATATATATAGACACACACACACACAAACACACATATACATACATACATACATATCTGTGTGTGTGCCGCCTACCGTGACCTTCGTCTACTGCATTCACGTCTCTTCGCTTCCGTTTTCGCGTCTTCTGCTTCGCTGTTTTAGCCTACTGTGTTTGCGTCTCTTAGCTTCCATCGAAGCGTTGTAGCATGTTCTGGTTTCGGTTTTCCTCTTTCCCAGATTCGATGGGTGCGCTTCCTCCTTTTTCAACTGAACCCAGCAAAGCCTCGTTCCCCCGCGTGTTGGGTAACCATCTAAAGTCGGCTTTTGTCTTCACGTCGAGTTATAAGAAATGTCGTGATGGTACAAGTGACTGCCCCTTTGTTAAGAAGGAGAGTATGAAGGGTGAGAAAACAACTCTCTTTTTCTCTGATTTAGAAATTTCAACTTTGGCTGAGAAATGCAAGTTCGCTCTCATCGAAAAATTTCAATTGGGCCACCCCTCAATGGAAGTTATCAGAAAAAGTTTTGAAGATCTCAAACTAGTAGAAAAGTGGAAAGGGAACTTCTTGATGGGAGGCATGTGTTGATTCAGTTAGTCATGGTTGAAGACTACTCTCGAATTTTCTCTAGAAAATATCTTAACATTGCAGGAAAGTAAATGAAGTTACTCAACTGGTCTCTTAATTTTGAACCAAACCATGTACCTCCCACTGTACGAGTATGATTTAGTTTACCTTGTCTCAAACTACAACTATTTAATCATCAGATTTTCTACTCTATTGGGGTCATCCCTAGGAATCCTATTAAGCTAGATCTACCAACCATAAATCTAACCAGACCTTGTGTTATCAGAATACTTGTGGAAAGAGATATCACTTTAACTGATATTACAGAAGTCTGGCTATGCACAACATATAATAAATATTGACAACAATTTGTCATAGAATATTGACCCTTTTATTGTACTCATTGTAAGATGTTTGGACATACTCTTGACAAATGTCACATGTTCTACCATAACTTGAAACCTAAAGCTCAACTACATAAGACCATGTCTAACCCCACTTGACACATCTACTCCACCTGTGGAAGAAATTACCATAAGACAGTAGTTGATATCTGGTTTAATTGGCCCTGAGGGGCCTACTTCACCTGTGAAGGAGCCTTTGAGGCATGCTCCTTTGTCCTTGAGGGGGATTGGTCACTTATTATACCTCTTGTGGAACCTCCGTTGATAGTGGATGAGTAGACATTGTCCCAGGGTGAGCTCTCCAACGAAGATTCACAAATATATTATATGGACAACCACTAGCAAATGAATGACAAGTTTACAAATCTAGGAAGAAGAAAAAAAGATGCTAGAACTCAGGAATTTTCAGAATAATTGTTTGATGGTTTCGGGGGGAAGCCCGCATCTCTGTTTGGTGTTAAGACTCTCTCCCTAGAACCAGGGGGAGAAGAAGTGGTAAATCCACCCACCATGAATAAGAGTATTTTGGTTTTTTTTTTCTTTTTTTGGGTATACGAGCATTTTAAAATCTCTTTTGAGTGAGTTGTATTCCCTGTGAGTAGGCTCTTTTACATCAATGAATTTGCCTTTTAATATATATATATATATATATACACTCTGCTCAGCGTTTTTAAAATGACAGGAACATGTAAATATTAAATCTACATTATTCTGGTCATGAAAATTAGGAAGAAATTGAATAGCAACATTAAATGTCAGGAAACCAAAAAAAAAAAAAAAACCCCGCAACATTGTGGTATAATTTTGATATCCCAACACTCCACACCAAATGAAGTGAAACGACAGCAAAGAATGGAGAACAATGTATAAGCAAATTAAATTCTCATATCCAAAATATCACAACAAAACAGAGAAAAATTGGCCTTTTGCATTATGAGGCTAATAGCAGGAATATAGCTTTATAAAATATGAATAGCAGCTTTTATAAAACATGAACTACTTCGTTCTTTTACTCGAGCTGGTGAACCAAAAGTGCATAATGAGAACAAAATTTGATCAGCGTTCATTTAGAAATCAATAAATTAAGTCATGGTAACACACATTCACGCTAATAAAAAAACAAACAAACAATTAATCCACCTACAAAAACACAACCCCCAAACCACACCAGAGACAGGTGGTGAGATCACAACAATTAAACAAAACTATTCGCTGCAACGGATTCACATAGCCATCTCAAAAATAAGAGAAACCACGACCAAACTGAAGAAATGAAATTCCATTTGGAGCATAAATTAAAACTAACTTGGTTTCCTCATGTTTCGTCCGGCTCGAATTACCTCATCCACCAACAGCAACTGAGAAGCTATGATAGGCCTGCACAAATAAAAATAGTTTAAGAGTAAGATAAGAGTCCAAAACTCTAGGGGCTGCCGTGCTAAAAATTTTCAAGGTTTTTAACATTATTACCCGGAGTTGATAATTTGGCGTTTTACAGAGTAGTTGTCAAATATGCCTTCCATCTGAGGATCAATTGGCTCCCCAGTGTTATGGTTCAAACCCACAACGTTTCCATTATCATGTTCATTCTGTTTGTCAAATAAATCATGTAAAATAGTGCAGTTACTTTATCCTCCATTCATGTTGAACTTAAAAAAATAGGGGGAATTTACATACATACCACTGTATTTACAAATCCAACACCTAAATTCTCATATTTACATGCATACCACTTAAATCTTTAACATCGCACCAATTACCATCACTACCCTTTTAAAATGAAATACAATTTTTCATACATAGGTGTCAATAAACTAAGTTTGGGAATTGGATATGTAGACACATAAAATGGTGTGGTATGTATGCAAGTTTCTCAAAAATAAATAAATGAAGTAATGAAGGAATTATTACCGTCAAAGAAATGATGACATCCTGCGTATCCAGGCCAGAATTCTCCGCTAGTGTCTTCGGAACCACAAGTAGTGCATTGGCAAATGCTTCGACTCCAACTTGTGCGCGCTGAGAATTCAGAAATTTATTTAAGAAAGGGACTCATTAATATTTTACCTTCTGAATACTGAAGGAAAAAAAAAAAGGGTTTGGGTAGGTTGCAAACCCCTTGAACAGTCTTCTTGACATTGTTGATCAAATGCTGTCTGGCAGCAACCTCAAAAGCCCCAGCCCCCTATAAATGCAAAGAAAAGCATCAAATTTCAAAATTATCAACATAGATGTTAATGCTTTGTTCCCTCGCAAAGAACTAAACCATTTTCCATTGAAGCAGAACAAAATATGAACATAAACGGAAAAAAAAAAAACACTTCGAGCCCACTTGTAGGAAAAAAAAGACTAGAATGTAAATTATACCTGACTTCAGCTGCAAAGTATATGGCCAAATATAATTTAAATTTTAAGACATGATATTATGAAGCATAATTTCTAATTATTCAGACAACGGAAGAAATGCAACCAATATGCATTGCATGAGTATTCCATATAGAAGGCATTGAAGATTGAGAACATAAAATTTCATCAAATTTAAATGGAAAAAAAAAAATAACACTCATCAGTGTATAAGAGATGCATCAAATTGTTTCAGGAGTCGCAATTACATAACCACACTAAAGAAATCATCCCTATACCTATATAAGTAGTTCCTCAATTTACATCAGCTTTAAAGAACCAATTTGATTTCATGCTAAGAAGAATATAGACTTGGGAGAGCAAGAAAAAATCTTCATATAATTTTATTGATCTTAAAAAGGTATGTGATTTAGCAAAACGATAATTAATTTAGTGTGAAACCAAATAAAAATGGGTGTGAAAGATATATTGATCTTATCAAAGATGTGTATGATGCTATGTTGACTAAAATTAGGAGTAATTGTGGAATGAAATAAGAATTGTCAGTTACATTAGGTTTACATCAAAGATCAATATTAATGTCATATCGTTAAGTATTGATTATAGAGATGCTAAAAATTGAGGTACTTATTATATAATATAATTTTAATTCTAGAGATATACATCAAAATAAGTGAAAATATAAAAAGAATGGAGAAAATGATTAGAAAATTAGGCACCAAGATTATTAGAATAAAAAATGAGTATATAAGGAGTAATTTCAATGCGAACAATATTGAAAAATATCATTAAATATTATAAAAAAAATGTTATTTCTAAATGTACAACAACATCAACAATAAAAAGCCTTTCTCCAACTAAATGGGGTCGAATACATTAATCATTATTCTTCATTGTGTCCTATTGAGTGTCATATTTTCATTTATATTTTCACTATTGAGTGTCATATTTTCATTTAATTATAATAAATTAAGATCATTTTTACACAACATGTCCTAGGTCTACCTTTACCTTAACATAAGTCAAATCTTAAACATCTACTCTCCTAACTAGATCACCAGATGATTAACGTTAAATGTGATTAAATCATCTAAGGCGACTCTCACCAATCTTAACTGCCACTAGAGCTACTCCAACACCTTCACAACTATATTTGTTTAGGATTTTGTCTCCAAGTATAAAGCCACTTATCAACCTAAGCATTCTCATCTCAACAACATTTAATTTTATGGTCCACTTTTTCAGATCAACATTTTGTGTCATAAAACATTGCAGGTCTCACCACCATCTTACAAAATTTTCCTTCAAGTCTAAATGGTACTTTTTTATCACACGATAGGCCCAATGCATTCCTCCACTTCCACCATCCAACTTGAATAATGCCATCTATTAAAAAAGACAAGGGACAATGAAAGGTATGCATGTACCCATTTGACGATTAGATAAATCTAGTATTAAGGAATTAGGAAGTGAGGATAAACCTAAAGTTCTATGGATAATAAACTGTTTAAAATGATTTGCGACAAATAGGTTTAACATCTCACACCACTCAATACAAATGAATGAAAAATGAGAATGTATGAAGTTGACAAAAAACAACTTAGATAAGCTTGTTGATGATAAGGATGTGATGTAACAATCTCATAAAACTAATTGATGATGTTTTAAATTTCAAATGACGAGAAACAAAGGATATCATACAAAACCAGCAAATGACTCGAGAACTTAATACATTCAAATAAAATCCAAGCCTATCTGTGAACATGTATGTATGCTCCACATATTATCCCAGTAAATTAGACGGCGATACACATCACCAATCATAGCCAAGAGAACTTCAGTTGTGCTGCATCCCTTAAAGAAAAATTAATACTTAATGAATTGCACCTTAGAAAGAAATAAGCCAATTTTATTAGATTGACAAAAACTATTGCAGCCTAAATTACATTTGACTATTTGCTTCTCAACCATCAACAATGTAAACCAATTTATTGTTAATTTAACAATAACATTATTCATCTATTCAACACAAAGTTAATACAAATGAGCTAAAGCTGTCTTCGTTTTGTCTGCCCCATCTCATGCGGAAGGACAATGAGATATTGACAGACAATTAGTAAATGTTGTTGCAATGCCCCAGTTGGTTGCAGAGGGATAAATTATACCAATATAGTAGCACGAGCAGAAACGAATAAAATATTCAAAGTCACATTCATGGCCCAAAATATTCCTTCCTCAATCCTCCACGTCAAGGGCATCATTTGTATCATTTTTTTTTTCTTTTGAGACTTCATTCCATGTCTGCTCACTACCTGGTCATGATTAAAGCATGCAATCTTATTATGAGGTCCTTTAAACGTGATAGGCTTATGTAGGGAGCTACAAGTCCACAGTTTCTGCTGGTTCACGCTATCTAACGGTTCATGACTTTTATTGGTTATAGCTTGTCCTTAAACACCTGGCTTAAATGCTGACGCCCTTCAAGAAATGAGCTATATGCTCCATCGACAGATGAATTTGAGAAAAATACAATTATCCTTAAAAAAATCAAAATCCAAGACAAGAAAATGGTGTTTGGTGCAAATGGTAATTTTCTAGGAAAGTCATTTCATTATACTAAGATGTAGTCTAAATTTTATGTGTTGGGCCGTCTCTTTTTTTTTTCCCTCATACATAATTCAATATTGATGCGTGAGCGTGATTAATATTAGCCAATAGCTACAACTAGCTTTCATCTTACGGTGCGAATGATGAATGATCTACGTTTTTTTTATAATTTTGATTGTCACTGAATTTCTTAAACTTACACAATCATTAAATTATTTTTATTGTAGATTTCCCACGTTTGCAGGTTTACATTAAAAGAAAACAAGTTCTTGCATAAATTGATTTTTGCAACTATGAATCTCAATCTGATTTATGTAATTTCATGTGTTATATCGTCTAATTGCATTAGAAATATTTGGTCTTAAGATGTCCTGCACTACATGAATATTGGAGCCAAGATAAACCATCACGCTATGTGTGAGAAAACATAAAAAACTGGTTTATAAAAATTAACAAATATTCAATTTGAACTAAATTGAATAAATTATGACTCTAGGCAACTGCAACATGCCTATCTCTAGATTCATAATTACATTACTACAATTGAGAGGAGGTATGAACATAAGAAATTTTTAAATTGCATTGACAATGCATGAACTTTTTTTTTGAAATATATAATTTATCTAATTTCCAAATAGTTGAAATTTGCTAAATTAAAATTAGTGACACATGCCCAATAATTTTGCTCAAGTGTTATGACTAAATTTACAATGTCCGGGATGACACAAACTTAATTGCAATATTTGTCATTCAGTGAATATAATGGCCAACTACATGATTGAGTTAGATTAAAATAGAAGTAATTATGGTGCGTTATAATATTATGCAAGGTTCACAAATCCTGTAACTAAACACTAGTGTCCTCTAGACTATGATGTTACCATTATTAATTCAAATAAAAGGGTTGGATGAGATCTTAGCAATGAATTAGGATATAAATAATCAAAAATAATACGAGACTTTATAAAGAAATTTAAATATTGAGAAAATCTGCAATCATTTTATTAGGACTATCACAAATGATTAATACTCTTGAGAAAATCAATATCGTCTCTTCTAAAGCCTCTCTTCTAAAGCCTACGACATAAACATTAGCACAAGAATTAGACATAGTTAAGTTTAATAGCTTCAAATACTAAATGAATATTCTTTTGAAAATATATGAAAAGCAGATGTTTTGCAATTACGAATATGAATTTACCCATTTTGCTGACGTCAAAATTTAAACACATTAAAACATGTGCCCAGACCTCAATTTATACTTTAAGAAATGATCAAAATTTGAGCACAAAACAAAATTCAGTAAAAATACACATTTGGGCATGAACTCCCAAAAACAATTGAGTCTATTATTGAATGTGAAATTGAACCAATCATATTGCATCTGATCAACCAGTGAATAAAAATAATAAAGCATTTTTCGAGGACTTATAAAAAAAATGTCCGTGTAATGAGATTCATTTGATATTAATTTTATATTTGGCTCTAGATTTTTTTATTCCAAATTGATAGAAAGAGCCTTAATGAAAAAGTTATGTTGCAACAACATTTGAAAGAATTCGCTAATGATAAATCCTTTAAAAACCTAAAATTAAAATAAATTTAATCATACCTAAAAATTCATAATTCATCACAACAAATATTTCTATTATTTGGGTAAGTTTTCTTTATAGATATAGTCCACACATATAACCTATCATATCATATTTATGTGATCTACTTGTTCCCAATTTTCTTTATTATATCATTTCCTAGAGACTGGTTATAGTTCTTTATTAGTATTATTTAAGGTGGATATCATTATTTTCATATTTTATTACTTGCTTTATATTATATTACTCATTTGTGCGATTTGTCTGGTTTGCATGAAAGTGCTACAAGAAAATTGACAATTATTTATAACAATTATCAGCCTATCGTTGAAATTAATACAAGACATGTACAGTTTAAACCATGTGACAAAGAAATTGAGACAAAAAAATTTCCTGTTAAAGCCTTGAAGAAATAAAATATGAGACATTCATGATCATTTAAAATCAAGTAGTACATTCGACAAATACCTTAGATGAAAATGTCCAAAATAAATAAGTAATCAATCTATTCTTTTAGCCATCCCGCCAAAATGCAAAAAGAGATTATATTTATATCTGAAACTTAGAAGTACCTTACAAGCCAAAATAACAATTGATGTGCTGTGAATTGAAAATAGCTCGCTCATAATTAGTTGAAGAAGACTTGAAGTTGACTCAATACATGATATTTATACACAGCCATACAAACATAGTTGAGTATATTATAATCTTAATTCGTAATTAAAATTTTTTCTATAAAATTAATAGACATGACTGGAATCTACTCAAATGTCAATTTTGACTTGACACAAACTTGGCTCAAGAGAGTCAAAGTCATTTAATTCAAGTTGAAGTCAGCTCACTCAAACTCGACTCCATCAAATCCCTCAAAGAAGTTTAGAAATGAGCTCACTCACACACATATTTGGCCACATAAAAATATATAACATCATTCCAACCATAAGAATAAAAGAAATTGCCATCATCAAGACCAAAAAGGAGCAGTGGAAAAGAAAAAGATTGAACAAATATTACATTAAAATTTAAAATTATTATAATTGCAAAGAACCTCAATAGAATTTTAAAAAAGTTCTAGCCACAGAATGTTCAAAAGAACTACTTCCCTGATGGCAATAATTTATTTATAATTTCTGTAGAATGGTGACAACAACAGAATTCTTAGATGTAAGTTAGCTACGTGGGAAATAGAGTAATCGCAAGTGTCCTTACAAAAAAAAAAAAATCAGACTCAAGATAAAAGAAATGAATGGTTGAAAAAAAAAGCAAATGTACAAAGCCTAACCAGAATAACGGCCTCATCCTCAAGTGTATTCTTAACAGATCTGAGACCATCACGAACAGCATCCTTGATTTGTGCAATTGTATGATCATTGGGTCCTGAAAAAAGCATAATATCAACGATAACAAACAAAATGATGCGAAAAAAAACTGCAAATTATGTTTATGTTCAAAATAAATAAAAAAAGGAGGGGAACCAGACAGGAAGGGTGAGGATGGTGAGATGATCAAAGAACCTTTAATCAAAATTGTACAGGAGTGGGGATTTTTCACGTTCTCCACAAAAGTGTACTTCTCCTCCCCAAGGACATGCTCATAAACAAGTCCAGCCCAACCAAGGCAGTCTGGAGTTAAATTATCAACTGAATTAACAGCTTCACCGCCACAAGCCAATACCAGTCGTTCCATATTTCTCCTTTTTGCTCTTCTAAGAGCAAGAATCTGCACATTCGCAAATCAAACAAACTGTAAAATATGTCACATATCATTATTTGATAAGGAAATTTACATACATACCACACAACTCTTATGTATTGACAAATCTAACCACTACACTATCATATTTACATTTATACCACTTTGGTATAATAAAACTATGCATGAAAAGTTGTAAATATCACTGTTAAAAAGTAAATGAAAGTGGTATGTTAATGTGATATTAAAGATTTGAATGCTATGCATGTAAATATGAAAGTTTAAAGTTAACATAAATACATAAGAATTGTGTGCTATGTATCTAATTGCGTCTAGTTGATATCAGAGAATCCCTAATTGTTCTTGACTTGAATAGAAATGCTTGTCGTGAGCACAAGAGAGATGGTAAAACAGATAGTGCAATGTATATTACAGAAGGTTATATAGCTAAAGCGATAAAAAAAAAAAACTTGAAACTGTCATTGGAAAACTGAAAACCCCATAATATACATTATAATACACTACACGTTCTCGAAGCCAATAACCATCGCAAGGTATGTTCACAAATTGGAGCTTCATCTAATATTTTGGTAAATTATAGTGCATCATGTATTTTCCAGTTAACAAATTGGAGCTTCCATACAAGATTGAAAACTTAAAATCAAATGATATAAAGTTTCTTATATGAAAAGAAGCGAAGGATATATTGTAAAGAAGGTGTTCATTTCATTGATTCATAGATCAAGAATAATCTGTTGAGTCATGAGGGTTTCACACAAAATAACAAGTGTGTTGGATACAAAAGGCAAATGAGTTTATGTAAAACTATTTAGCTGTCCAACCATAGTGTTAACACGAAATAGAGATATCAATTAACAAGTTGGCAATCAGCATCTTTATAGACTATTCTCAACCATAGTGTTGGATACCAGTCGTTCCATATTTAAATCATGCCTTAATTTTTATCCCGCACATGCTGATCCGCTACTTACTATAGACTGTAAATAACTTAGAATGAACAGTCAAATCATGGACTTCTATGTGAAATGTTATACCACGAGAGATAAAGATTATGTTGTTTAGTATTTATTTTAACTATTTCCTTTGAAATGGGAGTCAATATTTATTATCCTTTTGGATACTTTTAGGTTAAAATTTGAAATGAAATTAATTTTAATTTGAACTTATCACGGTAACATTGTTTCTATAAATAAAGGATTGTGTACTGTAATAAATCAGAGCTTATAATGAACTAAGGGTTTTCTTGTGGCCCTCCCATTTGGGAATTATTTCTCTCTTATGGGGTTTCTCCAAGCTTTCTCCCTCGCTACTTTGAGCCATCCTCTCCCTTTGAGGCGTGTTTATTCATTCATCTTCCCTATCCCCTTCTTATTTCTACCTTTCTTACCATCTTCTATATCAGATCCACAACTTCCCTCTTCGCAATATCAACCAAAAAAATACCACAACAATTTCTCAATGTGTTGCAAAATATCAGTGGTGTTAGAGCTTCACCCCATTCCCTATCAATTCATCCCTGGCAATAGTACCTATCGACTCTTATCCACATCACATGCCCACATATGCTTTTGTCATGTCTACGCCACATCAAACACTCCACACCTAACCATTTCTTCTTGCACCTGAGATTCTATCTTATTTTGGATAGGCCAAAGGCACATTAAAGCCTTCATTACCATCTTCTAACCCGTCCCCAGCACCATGTCCAAAAAATCGCCCAATCCCTTCCAAGTATGCCAACACACTCTACTCCAAAGCTTATGAACATGAGCAGGCGTTCAATGACTACATTCATGGAAAACACACTGCATACCTCATCCTAACCTCCATTTCAAGCCACTATGAGCATCAACAGCGTGAAAAAGGTTTTCTGTGGTCTCACAGATTTACATTTCTACCCACTCTTTTCAATTCTTCTACCATGACATTCCAAGCTTTCAATTTTACTTACTGTTCATCTTTAACACTCAATAAGAACAATCTACACATCTACTAGAAGCATTGCACGTATCCTTTCACGCTTCCTCGCATTCACAGTGTCTACCCATAAAAATCACAATTTCACAATTTCCTTGCTCAATCACATTTGAACCATACATGTTGCACGTTCACCACACTTGTGCCATGCACTTAAAAACCAACCAAAAACTTAAAAAAAAATAAAATGGAAACTTCAATTTATCAACTAGTACTTAGGATCAGTTTGGCCATATGCATGAAGACTCCCAAAGCTCCAGATTGTCTTTAAAGAGTTTTTATAATATTTTTCCAGCTAAAAGACAAAAATCTTCTACAAATATTGTTATAGATAGTGATGTTCTACCCTTTCATCTCTTTGTACTTAAGTTCAAGTTCTCATACAGCTCTTCCTAGATATTGATATTGCTAACTCTACATCGTAGTTGACGACAACAATCTTTAGTCTTTTTTCAACAACATTTCAACTAAGGAGTTCCTGGCAACTGAGAGAAATTGAATCACTCCAAAAATAAAGTTCTTATTTCTTAAGATTCATTTTAATTATTTTATTTGAAATTAGATCATTATATACCTTATAATTTTTAATAATTGTATTTGAATACAATGTTATCATCATAAGCTTAATTCTACAAATAGAGTCTAGTGTCTTACAATAAAACAAAATTTCTAATGAAATCAAGAAAGGCTCTACTTGGCGGATTCCTTATCCCTTCTAGGGGTTCTCCTTAGTTTCTTCCATGTCATTCTAGGCCTCCCTCTCTGAAACATTCATTTGTCTATCTCCTAACCTTCAGTATTAAATTCATCCCTTCCCATCTCAACATTAACGACAAAAAAAGCAACAAATCAGAACCAAAATTTGTGTCAGCGAAGTTGCAAAGCAAAAGAACATCACAAACAAAGTTGATTTTAAGGACTTCGTTGCAACAAATGCTAAATTACACAATTCAATCTCAGGCAGAGTTCATAGATTCAACTTCAAAACTCATCAATAGAATCATAACAAGCAAAGGTCCAGATAATTTAAAAAAAATAGTGTTACTTCTAACTCTTTGAGGAACTCGTGAAGCATAAACTCTAAGTACAACTATTAAGCATGTCAATGAAAATGAATGGCAGCCCGTTAAACAGTGCAGACGGATTACGATAAAAGAAAAAATAGCTTTCAAAACTAACCCCTGATCTAGCTAGAAGATCCAAAGATGGAGGATCAATGCCCTTCTGATTGATCACAACAAAATTACTTTCGCTGCCAGGGCAAACCTGAACACAACAAAAAACATAAGTTTTCTTAATTTCCTCAATAAAGCATGCACATTTACATTCACCTTATTCTTTAATTCAATGATTTGTTTGACTTTTTCATCAACTTGGCGCCTCTCAGCAGCAACCATCTTTTCTCTCTGTTCGGCATTTGAGTAGAAAAATCCAGCATTTATTTCGCTGTGCAAAATAAGTAATAGTGGACATGAACACAAAGAAGAACTCAGTGCTGGTTAAAAGAAGCATGTTTGCTCAACAAGCAATAAAAAAAATTGAAGCTTTTGAGATTTATTTAAGATTTTTCACTCAGAGAATAGTCTCAAAAGTATAACACTTACAAGATAATCTAATTGGATAACAATAAAAAATAAAAGATAAAAAACTGCAAATGCTAGCATACAACAAATATTAAGAGTGATGATATTTTTTTTCCGTTTTATTTTTTTAGATACCGCCAACGATAGCAGTGATTAGGTTAAAAAAAGGCAAAAAAATAGAGCAGAAAATTCATAACAATAAAAAATTTGAATATTCTTAATTAAGGTTAAGCATATAAAAGCACAACTTATTAAATAAAGCAAGATAATCAGATCAGCTTTAAGAGATTTTCAGTCATAACCTTCAAAGATTTTCAAAATATTCTAAAACGGAACTGAGGAAGCAACTTTCCATAAGTAATTCACAGTAGTTATGAATATAAAAGAAAGTTTTCCCGTAATGAACTTAACAATAAAATTGATGAAACAATTCAAATACCCTAAAAATGCAATTGGAAAATAAGAAAAAGGAATAAAGAGAGATACACAAAAAGGAGAGCAGCAACAAAAATATGAGGTGTGGGAAGGTTGATTCTATCAAGGGGAGAACTTAGGGTTTGCTTTCTCTATGCTTGATTTTGTTTGGCTGCTATTTTCTTTCTTCGTGTGATGTTCCTAGCGACGTCTAGAGTGTAGGAGAGACGATCTACCTCTCGAAAAGTATATCAACAATGTATCTTGCTCGTTTTCCTTTTATTTTCATAAGAGCAACCTTTGTTTGTGTTTCTTCCACCTATCTATTGTTGTTTTGTTGTACTTTGTTCGCTGATTTTGGTATGAAGGCGTATCAAATTGGTATTAGAGCATAGATCTTGGTGGAATGGCATAAAAGAAAGTTGATGTGCTAGAAGGAGAGGTAGAGCAAATCCGATCGGGAATAAAAGAAAAGTTCGCTACCATGGAGGATAGATTTTCTTCTATTGAAAGTCGAATGAATGGACTTGAAGGCATAGGAGAAAAGTGGGAGATGAGAAAAAAGCTCATGGAGATGCAATCCAAAGGCCGTGTCGACCACTCCAATTGCAAACCTTAACAAATGGTTCATCAGGGAATCCTTGGCCATGTCAAAAGGGAGAAGATTGAGCGATAAAACAACAAAGAAGATATCAACTACCTATAAGAGCGTCCCCCTAGGACTCTGAGACGAGGGAGAGTGGAGACTTCCGATGGAGGGGGATGGGCCAAGAATTGGAGAAGGGATGGGGGAAGGGGCACGGAAGAGTATGATGGAGGAAAGAGAAAAACGGGAGTGGGATGTGCCTATGACCGTAGGAGGAAGTTACACCCTAGATACAAGAGGGGAATTCCGGAGGGAGAGGAAGTTGAAGTGGAGACACAAAATTTCGGAAACTGAAAATGTCAATATTTGAATGGGAGGATGTGCATAGATGGTTGTATCAGGTGGATAGATATTTTGTAATCTAAAGGTTGATTAAGGAAAAGAAGCTCATAGTAGCGGGAGTATGCTTGGAGGGGAAGGCTTTAGCGTAGTTCCAGTGGATGGAGGCAAGGTATCTGATGCACTCATTGGAAAAAGTTTAAGGATTGTTTGTTGGAGCGTTTCCGAGCCATTATGGAATGAGACCTACATAAGCAATTCTATACTTTGACTCAGGAGAGGACAATTATGGAATACCGAGAAAAGTTTGAGCTCTTAGCAAAAAGGTTGATGGGATTTTTTGGAGCATGACTGGAAGGGAACTTCTTGAAAGAAGTAAAGCCCGGAATAGCCCAGATGATGGAGGATAAGAAATAGGTGAAGAAGATCGGCAAAGACGGCAGCACCGGAGGATTCTACAAAAGCATCGTAACAGTCACGACACCGAAGACCCAGACGGTGTCATTTCAGATAGAGACGCCGAAGGAAAAGAGTACATGACCCCAGTCTAGGGGTAATTTTAAGCGTCTCACAGATGCAGAAGTGGAGGATAAAAGAGCAAAAAAAAATTGTGTTACCGTTGTGACGAGAAATATGGCCCAAAACACAGTTGTGCGCCCTTCAGTTCAGGAGGAGGATAGAGAGAGTGAGGAATCATAAGAGGAAGCAGCGGAGGAGGAGCATTTGCATTTGGATGCGATGGAGGTATCCCTCAATTCGATGATGGGATTTACCCCGAATCACACCATGAAGGTGAGGGGATGCATCGATGAACAATTGGTGGTGGTGTTGGTGGATAGCGAGGCCACACATAATTTTATCTCAAATCAGGCTGTGGAGAAACTAAGATTGAAGTTGGTGACTACAGGAAGCTTTGACGTCATGATGGGGACGGGAAAGGTGGAAAAATTAGTTCTAACACTACATACCTTACAGGTGGTAGAAGACTTCCATTAGAATTGGATAGCATATGTCATTTTGGGGATGAAGTAGTTGCGAACATTGGGAGAGATGAAGGTGGAGTTTCAGGTGGAGAGCAGAAAGGTGGTGCTGGGAGGTGATAATAGCATAAGCAAAACAATGGTGTCGCTCAAAACCATAGTCAAGTGAATTTGGGGAGCAGGACTGCGTTATTTGGTGGAGTTACAGAACATTGAGGAGATTCGAGATTTAGAGTTGACAAAATTTCTAGAAGGGATCCAACAGCTCCTACAGCAGTTTACAGATGTCTTTCAACAGCTAAACAGGTTATCTCCTCCTAGGGAGCACGAGCACGCTATTACATTGAAGGAGAGTGTTGCCCCATCAGTGTTGAAACTTACAAATACCCTTAGATTTAGAAGGATGAGAGAAAGAAGCTGATCCGAGAGATGCTCAAGGCAGAGATTATCAAGTCTAGTGTGTCGTTTTTCCAAGTCTCATCCTGTTAGTGGAGAAAAAGGATGTTAGCTAGAGATTCTACGTAGACTCCCAGACATTGAATAAGGAGACGGTGTTGGAAAAGTTTCATATTTTTATGATTGATGAGATACTAGATGAGCTTTATTGGACAGTCATTTTCTAAAAAATTGATCTTAACTCGGTACACCATCAAATCATGATGAACCCAACTGATGCGCACAAGACAGCGTTCAGGACACATGAAGGACGTCAAGAGTTCTTAATGATGTCATTTCGCCTTACCAACGACCCGACGACATTTCAATCCCCCATGAATAGGGTGTTCCAACCTTACCTTTAGAAATTTATCATGGTTTTCTTTGACGGCATTTTTATCTACATTCGCTAGAGACAGGGCATGTGGGGTACCTAAGGACAATCCTGGAGAAATTGAGAGAGCACTAGCAGTGGGTCAGTTCAAAATCAAGGCTATTGTTGATTGGCCTTCACCAAGGAGTTTGGAGTTGAGAGGATTCCTAGGGCTCACTGGATACTACTGAAAGTTTGTGAGAGGATATGGCACGATAGCATGTTCACTGACAGAGCAGCTGAAGATATATAATTGCAAATGGGGGGAAGCAGCAGCAAAGACATTTGAACATCTGAAGAGGGTCATCACTAGCGTCCCAATATTAGCACTTCCATATTTCAATAAACCATTCGAAGTGGAGACAGATGCGTCAAGATACGGATTGGGAGCAGTGCTCATGCAGGATCAGCAGTCAATTACGTACTTCAGCCAAGCGCTTAATGCCAGAGCAAGACTATAGTCAGCTTATAAACGGGAATTGATGGCAATTTTCTTGGCCATTTAGAAGTGGATGCCCTACCTGTTGGGACGACATTTTGTTGGTCAGGACAGATCAGAGGAGTTTAAAGTACATTTTGAAGCAGCATATGGTGATTGAGGAGCATCAGATATGGTTGTCCAAACTATTGGGGTATGATTTCAAGATTTGGTACCGACCATGATTGGAGAACGAGACAGCTGACGAACTGTCGAGAAAGGTGGAGAAACCTCAATTGACGGTCTTATCGGTACCATTGGACCTAGATTGGGAAGCATTGAGACAGAAGAGTGAAGGGGATGAGAAGCTAAGAAAAATAACAGTCGAGCTATTACAGGATCTGAACAATCACTCAGGATAAGCATTAAGGGTACAACAACTGCTCCACCAGAGGCGATTTGTGTTACTAAAGTTGTCTGAAAAAATTCTCAGATTATTACAAATGTTTCATAGCAATGCGATCTGGGGACATTCTGGGGTACAGAAAACCTACACCGCATCACAAACCATCACTTGGTACATTATGGGTATAGCGCCACATCATCTAGGATTTATCAGTACTTGGAAGAGAGATAGGATACTGGCAAAGCTCAAGTGGAATTTACTAAGAGCTCAACAAATCAAGAATAGGAAAGCGGTTGAACACAGGAGAGGTGCAGCTTGAACCAGGGGAAATAGTTTACTTGAAGTTGAAGCCCTACCGACAGAAGACATTGGCCAGAAGAATGAGCAAGAAACTTTCACCGCGATATTAAGGATAATATAAGTGATGGCACACATCAAGGAAGTGGTTTATCGTTTTAGGTTACCGCCATCGTCAGTGCTACACCCGATCTTCCATGTGTCACAGCTGAAACATGCGATTGGAAATCAAACACCCTCACCTACACTATTGCCAGCGCTGATAGAAGACATATAGGTGATTTTGGAGTAATTAGAGATCGAAGAAGTGTGTTGAAGACTAGGGAGAGCAAAGGAGGTATTGGTCAAATGGAATGGACAACAAGACTACGAAGCAACATAGAAGCCTTACGAGGTGATCCACAAGCAGTTTTCATCCTTCCTCCATGAGTATAAGGTGCATTTTTTTAATGGAGTAATGTTATGCCCCTAGACAGGTTGAAGATAACATAATCGGCTCACAAACGAGTCGGTCTTGGTGCAAAAGGAAGTGAGGCGAATGGCGCGAGCTGCAGAAGAATGAAAGGGAAAGGCGGGGTCCACTAGGGTCATAATCACCTATGCAAGGAGAATAAA